ATATGTAAATATATATTTAAATAAATTATATTCCAGCTCTTAGAAACCTCACAGTCAATTGTAAAGTGCAGATCATTGTGCTTTAGTCTCAGATATGCTATAGCAATAAGTTATCTTATAAGCATGTTACATTTTTTTAAAAAAGTATGTATGTTAGCACAAAAGAGAGGGTCAACTCAAGCCTTATATGTCATTTTTATTACCCCTTGAGTATACTGGATAACCAATTAAGTGGAAAAGCACTTTCACTTATTCTCCTGATATTGGTGTTTAGAACTGCATAGAACTGCATTTCTACCTGAAATCAGTGACAAAATTTAGCCTGGAATTTGAGTGACAAGAACTGTTCCTAGGAAAATCCTCAAATGACTGTAAGTTTTATATTAGCAAGAAATATGTTTTAGTATCTCCCTTTCATCAGTTAACACCTGGCATACATATCATTATTGAATACAAGGATGTTGTAGATACCTGTAGTATATCACTTAAAGAGAAATTAATTTGTTTGTTGAGGATAAGGCTAGCGCTAGTAATCAAACATGTTGTTCCACACATTGCACAAGGAATTGCAAACTTGCTGACTACTCAAACTGGAAGAACAAAGGAGGAAAACAAATGACCTGTACATAACTTTTGGCTTTTCAACCACATTTCTGTCATAAACACTTCTGTTGCAAGACAAGGTAACAAACCATTTTTGAATTTCTGAACATTTACTGCACGTTCTGCCCTGAAATCTTGCTCCTTTAGCTGAGTAAATGTCCACCAGCTGGGATTAAGTCAGAGTCAACTTGCAATCAGAAGGCAATCATTCACTCACTCTAAAAACAGAGTTCAGCTTCTAAAATTGTCTGTTTGAAAAGATATTTACTTTTAAATTTTTGTTGTGTTTTATTGTTTTCTTTTTTCCTATTCAGACTATCCAAGGGATTGTTTTGAGATTTTTCAGCACTCCAAAGGAAATTCCAGGGATGGTCTTTATATCATCCAACCAAAGGAGGACCCAATTGTTGTCTTTTGTAACATGCAGGATGGTGGCTGGACAGTAATCCAACACATTACAGCCAACAGTACTGTTGACTTCGATAGGACCTGGGAGGACTACAAATATGGATTTGGCTCCGTTCATGACAACCACTGGTTAGGAAATGAATATATGCATCAGTTAACCAGCAGCTCTGTGCAATATATGCTTGGAGTTAAACTTGTAAACATAAACACTGAAATCAAATGGGGACAGTATGAACCATTCCTTATTGAAGGTGAAGAGTCTCAATACCGAATCAGGGTTGGTCTATACAGAGGCAATGCCACGGATGCACTGACCCTGGACACAGAAGCTTATCTCCATGACAACCAGAAGTTCACCACCAAGGACAGAGACAATGACAATTACTTTCTGAATTGCGCTAAACTGGAACTCAATGGCACTCCTGGGGGAGGCTGGTGGTACGACGCATGTGCTGGAGCAAATCTAAACCGTAGGAATGTGATATACTGGCAAAAAGACTGCAACAAGCAACGCTTGTGCAAGTATGCATGGATGATGATCAAACCCATTGAAAACCACCTGCCATATCAAACCAAGTCCTGCCCATGTCAGAAAGTTGAACTGTAGATAAGCCATGTATAGTTTGAAAGGCACATGGACTCTTTGTTCAGTGTCTGAAGTGAACTCACACTGACTGAACAATCGCACTAAATAATCATGACTGAAAACTTAAATTGGGGCTCTGCAAGGGCTTTATGATAGCATATCATCCAGGATTGGACCAGGACATAGAAATCTGCCAATTGCACAAGGAAGAACCTGTCAGAAACTAAGACCTCTACCGCAAGATTTAAATAATTCATTTTATAGAATATCCAGGATATGATGTCTTGTACAATATATACATGAATATAAATGCATTTCAGAAGGGTTTGCTTCAGTATCAATGTTCATGACCAATCTCTTATAATTGCCCATCTGCATATATCATGCATTAACCATGTGTTTAAAAGTACGACAAAGTGGTTTTAGGACTGTGCATTGAATATTGTATGTCAATAAATTAACAAAATTTGTTGCATGGCCTCATTTTTCCCTCCTAGACTGAACAAAGAGTCCTTTAGTCACTCTCACATCTTCTGCATTTCAGAAGGCATCAGGACTCAGGCAGAGTGGTGAGGTACAGTGTAGGAATAGACTCTGTGTCACTGGATGAGTGCCATGATGTGCTTGCTTTGGTCAGCAAGAAACTGTGGGTGCAGTAAGTGCAAACAGCATCTGGAAACACAGAGAAGAAACTTGATGACTGTTGCTGAGGAATGTAGATATTATGCAAATGAGGGGATAAGAAAGGAATTATGGGCAGACAAATATGCATGAGGATGTGTGATGTAAAAGTACTAGGGAGGTGTATGAAAGCTAGCTGGGAGAGCAAATAAACTGTGTTGTGTGTGAACAGCAATGGAGTCTGTGCCTCAGTGCCAGAGTACAGAGCTGAATCCAGCTGTGCTCTGCAGCTAGTATCCTCCACTGTACCCTCTCTCCACTCTTCCTCCTGTAGCTTCCTGATGAATTGCACACCCAAGGAGGCCTGATGGACAGCATACAGTAAAACAACTGTCTGACCTCCACTATGTCTAGGTGGCTACTCCATGTTAGGAGTAAAAAATATTCCAGCTTTTATCTTGGCATTGTAATCCAGGAATTCAGAAATAAAAACCAAATTTAAGAGGTCCACTGAAACTGGAGCCATCAGCAGCCAGGGTTTGGAGAAGCACTTAATGAGAAAAAAAGTTTAGATTTTAAATGTTGGGATATTTTGAGGAAGACTGACTTCTTCAATATATCAGCAGATACATAAAGAAACTAATGGCATTTAGTAGCTAATGGCAAAAGTATTGAGTAAAAGGCAGTGCTTTTACTGAGTGTAATGAAAACCGGAGTTCCTTAATCCTGAAGAAATGCATTTACCAAGATGGAAAAGCCAATTGCAACACCACTTTCTGAAATCACTAGTAGTTATAGATTATCTTATGTTTTACAACACTGTTATCAAATTTATTTTTTTAAAACTAGTTATAGATATGGGGTCACTATTAACAAAATCATAAACAAGAAGCTTATTTGAATGGTCAAAGTTTAAGGTTTTATGATAGTAAACTTTTAATTTTATGTGAAAGAAAAATTCTTAGTGAGTTCAAAAGGCAGCAATGGAGATTTGGGATGACGTCATAAGAAATAATTGGCCTCTTTCTTGATTTGGTAGGGGGAAGCCAAGTAGTTAAGTGAAAAGATGCAGTACGCATTTCTGGCATTAAGGTTTAGCAGGTGATGTCAAAATGGGGAAGCCACTGACACAGCAACTGCAGGAGCATTACAGGAGATGATGGAGGCCTTGGAGTCCCCAAGGCAAACACCACAGGTGAGTCTTTCAGAGGAAAGTTCTAACTCTGGTCTGTAGCTCATGGAAGTAGTGAATGTGAGGCAATTTTGTGAGGGTTTTATTTGGTTGGTTGTTTTTTAAAACCATCTGTAATATCAAAAAGAACTAAGCAGTATGGAGTTTTTTGGCAGGGTCTTACCCCACCAGAGGGGCACCCAGACCTACAGTTCACAGCAAATGAACTGCTTTCAGAGGAAAGTTCTAACTCTGGTCTGTAGCTCATGGAAGTAGTGAATGTGAGGCAATTTTGTGAGGGTTTTATTTGGTTGGTTGTTTTTTAAAACCATCTGTAATATCAAAAAGAACTAAGCAGTATGGAGTTTTTTGGCAGGGTCTTACCCCACCAGAGGGGCACCCAGACCTACAGTTCACAGCAAATGAACTGCAGTAACTCCCCCACCAGAGGGGCACCCAGACCTACAGCAAATGAACTGTAGTAACTCCAGCTTGATTGCTAGGTACAGCTGAGGAAACAAGTACTTGTTTCTCACTATGCCCAAATGAGAAACATATTCATATTCTTCATATTATTTCCATCTGTATAGAAAGGAAAGAAAATTAATTTCAGAGGAAAGTTACACCATTCTGTTGGTTTGTTTGTTTGTTTTCCTAGAGCAAAGAATCCAGGGAAGGTGGCAGTAATTATATCCCGTAAAAATTGCAGAGTAACTTTAAAAATGAAGCATTCAAAAATTCTTCTTCAATATGAATATTTTAGGAATCCCAAACTATGAAGGAGTGATTTGGAAACTGTTTCCTACCACAAGTAAAGAAGCATCTTACAAAATATTATTCAAAATCCAGAATCTGAAAAAAAGTCCACAGATGTTAAATTCAGATTCAAACTGGGCATCCAGTGTCATAACAACTGCTTTCTATGAGAAAACAGAATCTTTCAGATTGATATGGGATTCTTTAATTGTTGTAGTGACTTCTCATTTAAATTTAACATACCACACAGATTTTTATTCCTTCGTGTATGTGACTAACCTTAGTCTTTATTTGCATTAAGGTTTTCCTGTTAAATTAGTTTGACATGTTCAGATCATCTATCAAATACAACAAGGTGGCAATGTCACAGATTACTGTGATAAGAAAGTACAATGAAGGATTTTGCCTTGAATTCTATCACTGCCTCTGGATCTACACTCCTCAAGTCCATACACCCTTCCTCAATTCAACAGGATTTTTTTTCTATAAAGGAAACCCTTGTATTTATAGTCTATCTTGACTTTCTGTCCTTTGCAAAGCTCTTCCCTTTGTGCTAAGTAGCCACGGAAAGTGCACAACAGTATTCAAGTGTTCTATAATTTTTAAAATTCTGGGAACACTTTCAAGTATTTATCTACAAACATAAGGTATATTTTCAGAAAATTAACGTTACTTTATAATTTATGGGGATCTGGAATATATAAGGAGGCTGGCACATATGAAAAGGGAGAGACAGAAATCATATCCCCAGTTTGTGGGAAAATTTAATACTCAAAAATACAAAAGGTCCTGGGTCTCTGAAAAGCTTAGTTAGGGATGTAATGTATGTGTCTCTGAAAAGCTTAGTTAGGGATGTATATTTATGCATCTATATTGATAATACATACATATCTATACATATGTATGTGTATGTAATTATCTATAAATAAAATGTAATTTTAAAAAAATATTATCTCACTAGTTCATGACCATAATCAATTACAGGATCAATAAAAATTTCATTAAAAGGATGGAAATACTGGTAACAAGATCCTCCTACACTGCAAAAGTCTCACAACACTTTTAAAGGTACAAAATATAATTATGTGCTAACTGATACTCTGATGAGGATTCCATTTGTCTTTTTGCAGGTTTGATTTTTGTTAAGAATAAACATCCTACATAACAATAAAGCAACACACACCTTTTTATATAAACCTCAGTATTTACAATGTACTCATGTTTGGCCATGTAGTGTCTCACATGGTGAAGTTCAAGCAGCATAGTTTGAGCACGTATTTCACAATTACATTGAACCAACATACATCACTGCATATTCTAATACATTTACTGAGCACAGCGTCTATAAATATTTACCGAACACTCTTGTTCAACAGACGCCAAAACCAACAGAAAATATCCAATTTAATTTCAGGAGAAGCCAATGCTTCACTTGAGCAATAACAGTGCAGCTTGCAGGAACTGTTACTACCTCATAAATTTTGCCTTTAGCTACAGCTTGTGCTCAAGAGGGGCACATCCATTTGCTAAAAATTAAGCATAGTTTACTGAATGTCTGATCCAATCTAATATAAAATAAACCAATTTGTACATAGTTACCATACACAGGAAAAGCTCTGGATAGTGACAGAGGATAGTCAATGAAAGGGTCTTGAGAAATACCTCTGCATTCCTTTAATAAGCAATCGTATGCTAATGCACAAAAAATTATACACACAGTACAGTGAATTACAAAATCAATCATGTGCATTTAGAGAACATATTTTAATACTACTCCTTCACCAATCTTTCACTGACACAATCTACCCCTGTGGAATAGGGGAACATTAATTATTAACATTAAACATTAATTATTTGTACTGTGATTG